TACTAAAACTTGCTACTCCCATCTCCACAATATCAGCAAGGCCAGACCGTTCTTACCAAAGATGCCTCAAAAACTCTCTGACTCAGCCTAGTCACATCTCGTATGGACTACTGTAACAGGCTTTTGGCCGGATCTCCATCTTGTGTCACTGACCAACTCCAATGCATACAGAATTTAGCTGCTCGCATTACCTCCCAGATCACCAGAAAAGCACATCACACCAACTCTAAAGGACCTTCATTGGCTGCCAGTGAAACAAAGAATCTCCTTCAAACTATTATGTATCGCATACCAGTGCATGACTAACACAGCTCCAGTCTAACTCTCAGATCTTCTTCAGGCTTATGCACCATCTAGATCTCTCAGATTAGGGAATCAACACCTTCTTGTTATCCCCAAAGTCAAACAAGCTAAATATGGACACCGTGTCTTCTCCTATCCTGCTGATAAAAAAATTTCTCCCCACATTTATTTGAATATCTTTTTTTTCGAAGATTATAACCATTTTAGAAAGTTATTCGATCTGATGACTTGAAAATTATTTCAAGGGATTTAATTGAGAGACTGTGCAGCAAAAAGTGTTTTCTCCCCATCATTTCATTATATACTTATCAATTTTCAAAGAACTCTGCTTTTAGAAGAAAAACTTCAAGCGTAATAATAAGAATTCTACCATGAATCAAGAAAATACTAGATTCTGATTGGTTGTTCAGAATTGTGGATTGACACTCATCTGATTGTAAGGCCGCTTCACCGCGCATTGACAAATCTTATTGTGAGAACTACTTCCGTTTGACCACAATGATGGCGGATCATAACAACAACTCCATGGATTTTGACGCTGACTTTCGAATATTCCACATAGGCAATTGGAAATTTTTGGATTAAAAATGCGTTTGATTTCATTGCGCTTCACTGCGCACGTATAGAACACTGCTGACTACTTCAGCTTGACCACCAACATGACTAATATCAACACAACAGACGTGATGGAAATGCTGATAAAACCTTTATTTAAACTCGAAAAATACAATTATATGATTCCCCCCACACACACACACAAATATGAGGGAACCTCACTATCATATTACCTTCTATTATAAAAATATTCAAACTCAATTACAATACACAGCCCCAAACATAAACAAAACAATATCTAACATATAAATCAGAAAGCCTTGTAAAAATACATCCCTATCTATACAAAATATGGAGCAAAACATTAGTAAACATTTACCTACCTTGTAAACGGTATATTTAATTCCGTTTAGAATGGGAAATTTGAAATATAGATCTAACGGTCTGGCGAAACACCACATTTATGCCACTCATAGTCATACTCCATCATATCCCGTTGCATCGTTCACAAAATAATTCTGCTCTCTGCCAGCTTCCCCGCAAGGTTGTCACTGTTAGGTTCATCTACTTTGAAAAACGCTTGGACACAGTCCAGTCCCAAACGATGAAAACAAAGTTCCAAGGAATCACAAGTTAGTCGCATGTACACTAAGCAGCAGCACTGTCACCCTTTTGTCGCATGCCAGGTGGAGGCAGTACGTGAAATCATGATCGGCTGGTCATAAAATCAACAGTCTTTGATGAGTTACAGGTCGTAGGTTGATCAGGAAAGTATCTATCCTTCGATTCTGCAGGGTTCAGACTCGACAGTCAGTCAAGTATTGCCCACTGTCACTTCAAATTTCAACCTTTCGCAAAATGTAAACACTGGCTCGTCCGCCATTTCAAACTGTTGCGTAACTGTCTACTTCGAAGAAAATAAGTAGGTCAGACGATTCCATTATAGTGTGGCCAGGGGGGTACAGTTTCACGACACAAAAAACAATAGGCTGGTTTTAGTCGTGTGGAGTTGGGATGAAAAAACCCCCAAGATCTCGGGTATTTCATAATTGCATTGAATAAACAGTAGTTTGATTTCTTTGGACAGAATATTCTTATGCTGTAATGTTAACAAAATACGAACGGCACCTACCGCTCCCTTCACAGACGAGTTCATTTCGCCTCTCGTCCCATGCCGGATTACGCAGTGTCTTCCGCAGAGCGATGAAGTTCGATTTTAAATGGTTCATGGTAGAATGGAGATAACCCTAGTGTGTTTGAAAATCAGAGACATGCTTTACTGAATTGATGGCGACTATATTTCAATTGGAACCGAACGTGTAGCGTGAGGTTTCAATTGAAATATTTAGTCGCCATCAATTCAGTAAAGCATGTCTCTGATTTTCAAACACACTAGGTTTATCTCCTAAATTGATAAATCATAATCTGATATTGACATACTACATTTTGAAATAAGGACTGCTCCCTTACTGACAGTCTCACCAAACAAAAATAAACATCTCTTTTTTGTTTCATACATAACTTTTCTTGAATAACTTGATTTACATTGAGTTGATGAAATGAAGCAATCATATACTTACATAATGCATAAAAAACCTACATCTGCTTAAATTCGTCTGCTAGCTGCCATTTTGAGACAGGGAGTGTTCATTATATATATATTTTTAATTTAAACAAATATATGGGGTTTTCTTTTAATAAAATATTTCATGAAATAGAGAAACACACTTAGATAAATTTAATAACTTCAAACTTTAAATATTCAACTCTCCCATTATGACCTTCTGACCTTTTAGCAACCTTTTCCACAACCACTTTGTACAGTGCTCAAAAGTACTATTTGCACCATATTTCAACTTGGAACCAAACTTTTTATTTAACTAGCATGTCTGATTAATACAAAAAACACAATGTCTTGCTTTCATCACAAAACTTCCACCGGACAATTCTGTACCTATCCTACCAGACTATAAGTCCATTAGGGAGAAGTGGCGTAACCTCCATCTTTTTATTTCACCCTAGGGGAATTGTGGCTACCGGGGATGTTTTGCTACTTTTTTTTAACCTTTCTATTTTAACCTTTTACAGGTGAGTGATCAGCAAACAATATGGTAATAATTTTCACACCGTTAACATCATCAAGGGTGTTCATTAAGCCTCAGCTGTGATGTCTGCAAAACAGTTTATCGTGAATCTTCTCCGATAACAATTTGTTTCGTGAGGAAGGCTTCTCGGGCCTGTTGCCTCCCTTGTTCCACTAACTTTTTTTTCTCGTCTTTGCTGAATTCGGAGATTTTACTAGACTTGGAGTAGTAGGAGTAATGGGGGTACGAGATCACTTTCAAGAAAGGTCGCTGTAAACAGTGTTGTAAACTCCCCAAAATTTCGGCCAGACAACCGGTCTGGTAACTGTCAAAAGTTACCAGACCGGCTGGAAAGTTACCAGTCCAGAATTTTCAGGATTAACAGTGATTTTGAAGCCTATCAAAATCAGTAGGACAAATGTCCTGAGTGGAAGTCTGGCGATAGGCCATTGACCTAAAGCTCATTTTGACATTTTTTAAATCCCAATGCCATCATATGTCTAAATTGGTAATGACATTTAATGTTGCAACTTGGATTCTAGATATACAGCAAAATTAAAAGATCTAATCCCACTGTTGATAAATATGAAATGTATTTTTCTAATATTTTTCAAATAATACAGCTACAACTTAAATAAATTGCGTTTTTAATGAAAATTCAAGCATTTATAATGTCCAGAAATATCACAAAAGAAGCAAAAACTATGGCGATTTTTTTCCATTTGTGACATGTCATAACATCCCCGTGCCTTTTTCTTTTATATTTTCATTTTTACGTAATCAGAAAATTATTAAAAGCCACTGATATCGGGAAATAGGCGACCATACATATTATTTAAGAAATCTTTATAGGCGACCATACATATTATTTAAGAAATATGTATGGTCGCCTATTTCCCGATATCAGTGGCTTTCCGATCGGTAACATGACACAACAACGGCAAATACCTCCGTTTTCGAAGCTTCGTATGAATAACATGCGAGGCGAATCGTTTGATGGCGTGTATCGTTCGAAAGCTCTGAACATCAACAATATCTCTATACCCTTGCTGAGAGTATTTTCACAGTTGTAAGAAGCGGTTTTATTGGATAAAGATTGGTTTCTAATGACGCTTTTTCGCCACAGTCTGCTATAAGAGTCGTGATTGGTCAAAATCAGACACGTGACATGAGGCAGCCACTCATATTACGGCAATGGATCATGTCCTCGTAAACGAAAACCTTTATATTTAGACGAAAGTTTTGGGTAAAATAATGCTATTCGGAACATATTAAGCACGAAAACGCTATGTATACTTAAATTATGGAACTTATTGGACGTATCGTGCTAGGTTATGACCTGTGACAAAAATGCTTCATGCATATATTTTCGCATTAAACATCGTGTCCAAGCGTGAAGATTGAGGCGGCGAAGCCGAGATGTCACTTGTCAGTGACTTGACTCGTATTGCATGATCGCACAAAAAGATGGAAATAGTAGTTTTATATGTACGTTTGACAACTTTTATGAGTGCTATAGTTGATTTTATTCATAAGTTTATTCAATTATTTAATGATTTCCTTGAAACATTGTTACATGCGGGTGGGGTCGGGAAAGCCCATATCTGATTGCCCAATGCTTTAAATAGCAGCCAATTGCGCAATCCATTACATGTACATTTGGTAGCTTAGTGTGATAAAAATGGATGCGTAAATACATACACGCCGCGGAAACATGATCAAGATTTCGTGGTTAGTTTTTGATGAATTCGTAAATAATAATGTTCGTAATTTATTAGGTCCAATATGTGAAAATAACATCGAAATAACACAATAACACGTATTCAGTCATTATATACATTACAAAATTACGCTGATTCAAAAGCCAGACCATCGGGCGTGCAACTTTTTAAAACTGACCGTCCGGTCGCAAAACGACCGTCCCGGACGGTCGGGCAGGCGGGAGTTTGCAACGCTGCTGTAAAGCTTTATTTCATTAATAAAGCTTTGTCAGGCCCTTAGATCTCGCCCCCATCATGTCTACTACTTTTGAATCCCCGGTTAACTTCCCGACCCCACGTGCCACTTCCTGATCACGTGATAGCTCTATGTCTTGTGAAACAGTTTAATGTTTCGCACCCCTTGTTCTATGTACTTTTTTTCCTCGTCTTCGCCGATAGCAGACTTACGAGACTTGAGCCGGATTTCTTGTTTCATCTTACGGTATTTGTCGAGTTCAGAGAGGATTGAGCGAGATTCCTCCTCTGAGATATTACTGTCAGTGAGTGCTGTAGAAATACGCTCACTTACCGTGTTCAGCTTTGCTTCAGCCAGAATCCTGATCTCGTCGTGTTTCAATGCCTTCCGGTGCAGTCTGCGTGACACAAACTTAAACACCAATCCAGCCAACCCAGACACCCCAGCTGTTATTTCGATGCCTAGCACTGCGGGTGCGGCTATGATGGTGGCCAACAACCCAACACCTACTGCCCCTAACCCCATACTGGTGGCCATAAGGGCGGTATCAACACCATCCACGACATTGAAAGCTCTATGGTATTTCTTATACAATGCTGCCCGTGTGTCGCGGTCTTGTTCTAGTCATCTACGGTTTCAAGGGGCTTCAGGACTTCCTCTGCGACTGGGTATAGCCCCATCCTGTGTGCATATAATATATCTTATGAGATATTTTTTAATTGGGCTTCAGTTAATAGTCGATCAACGTACTTGAAGCTTATAAGGTATAGATCCTCATGCAGGGAAATAGATGAGAGGTTAATAGGTAACTCTGCTTCCACACGAGCCCCATAGGAGGGTCTTATTGAGGGGGCTATAGAACCCGTTGAGGGGTCCGGTTGTATGATGATACGGTAACGTTGGTTATTGGTCCGGGGACTCCAGTGTACTGTCACCACGGGTAAAAGCTGTTGCTCTTTACTAACAGAATGTCTCAGGAGATAGACTTCTATGATGAGTGTGGAGCCTGGTACCATAGCCGTAACCTCCAGGGTCCAGTATCGGTTAAACCTTAACTCACCCCCCTCGTATGCCTGTAACATATTGGGTAAAACCGGTCTTTGTATAATATTTGTATTAGGCCCCGGAATGAAACCCCCGGGCAAGGTACCGTTATTCCTAATTTCAGAGATACGACTATGTTCGTTTAATGAGATATAAGGTGCGGTGAGGGTCATATTGAGCAACCATTCGGGTTCCTTTAAGCTTGCCAAAGCAAACTGCCTATACACGTGGCCGTCAAAGTGCAGGACGTACGAGGTGTCTTCCTCACCAGGCAGATCGAATCCCTCCGTGTCTCCTAGATCCCCGAGTGTGATTTTGGGTAGATGATCGGCCATTGCTGCCCGCCTATACACGTTGTCTTTCAAGTGTAGGACGTACGAGGTGTCTTCCTCGCCAGGCTGATCGAATCCCTCCGTGTCCCCTAGATCGTTAAGTGTGGCGTTTGGCCGATGCCGATTGGCCATTGCTATAATACTATTACGAGATAGTTTCCAATTGTTTTTCTGATAATTTCTCAGGGGTGCACTTTACCCCCATGAAGTGTATGTTGTCAGGTAGGAAGATCTTGGTTAGTGATATCGTAACTTCCATCATCACGGTGACTGGGCTGATGACTATGCTACGTCTCTGCGCCGGGACGTAAGCTACGAGCAGGGTTCCGTTGTTCAGGTAGTTGTCTTTGTTCTCCGTGAACACGTAGGGGGAGCCAAGCCTAATGTTGAGAAACCAGTCGACTTTAGCGGACAACAACACCCACTTGTCATCGTCGGTGAAGACGAGCGTATATGGTTTGTTTCGGGCGACGGTCGTGCTACCAACATCTTCTAAGTCGAACAGTTTGCCTCCGAACAATTGGGATACCGCCCATCTATCATCACCAATACGGACTAGGTCGAACCGAGTGTTGAGGGCCGCTCCTGAGAATCTACTATGTCACCTAGGGTTCTACCGATGGAGGGGACTTCAACGCGTTTGTAAATGTTGTTTTTCAGTTGCAAGGCGTACAGTTTACCATCTACTCCGGGGTCGTCGAATCCGCGTGTGTCCCCAAGTTCGGAGATCCCTGCATTGACGATTTTTTCGACCTCATCACGTGGCCTTGTGCGCTAGTCATTTTATGTGCAGCGTTATGCTGAGGTATCCTATATTCACAGGATTATGATTTATATCTAACACCAATATTATCAGCTCCAGGATGTTGCCCCGGGTTAACCTCTTATACTGGCGCGGTGAAAACGACTCGGTTCTACTGTTGTTGTATTTCTCCATTTTCACCGGTACGGTATCGTGGAAGGGTGACCGCCTTGAATGTTGTCCGTTGTGCTCAGCTGACCGAGATGAACGCACAGCTCTCGGTACGGTACTAGGTCGGGTAACTTCGTGCCTATGACGGTAGTTGTTGGTTTTATCTCGTCCGGCGACATCCCGAGTGTCCTCGCCAATAGTCAACCGAGCCTCAAGGGGTTTATTCCGTTGTTGATTAACACCACTGTGCCGTTTGAGTAGTTCATCTTGAGTTCGGCCCCCAAGGGTTTGAAGACCTCATCACTTAGCGAGCACACGCTGTAGTAGCCGTCAGTTATCTGGTTGTGGGCGCCACTGACGAACAGCTTGTTGTTGTTGACATTGATGTTAGTCCATCGCGGTAGGTAGGTGATATTGTAGAGTGCGACTTCGAGTTGACCCGACGTGTTATCGATCGCGTGCATCAGCTTAACGGCCTCGCCGCTCGTTATTCCTGGAAGTGTTACGTACATGTCAGTGTATATATATCCATTATATAATACTTTAAAAATGTAAAAGCCGGGAGTGTTTTACCCTAAACTGGACATAGATTTCCCACACAAGATCGTGGTCGCTGCTGGGTTGTATTTCAACGCCCAGTTTATAGATGTATTTGCTAGGTATAGGTTTTTGGTGACTAACGCTAAGGTAGTCCACGCTTGGTTCAACAACCCGATGCAGTTCTGGCAGAATCAACTCAACTTCGCTGTGTGGTGCGCTACAACGGGGTGCGGTGTGACATTGACCGACACTCGGCGGGGACCGCTGAGTCAGTCTGTGTTCACGTTCCACGTGTACTACCAGATCAGACATATCCTCAGAAAGATCAGCGCCCCGCTCCCACAGGACAAAGCATGGGACGCAGTAAACAACCAGTACGATAGACGGGCCTACGAACACGTTTGCAACGAATTCGAACTAGACCCGAAGACGGATTGGCGTTTGCCGGGCCCTAACCATGGGTTGGGTATCCCCATCGCTCACAATATGCATATCGCGGAAGCCAGCAAACAGCTGGTGAAATATTGGGGTTACAAGTCGTATCATATCACAACAAACGAGTGGGATGACCGTTACATAGCTTTCGACAATATCAAGGATTACCGAGTCTGGAGGTTCGAGCAGGGGGCAACGGATGACTGGAAAAAGTTCATGCTGGACACATCGAGAGGGTTCACTCTTGCCGGCACCGAACGCTTGAACGACTCGATTCGAACGTTACGCTGTTGGGTGCGCAGACGCAATCGCGTTCCAACATCCTCGGTAAGGGGACTGCTTACGACGCTCAGAAACAGTTCGTTGTTAACGTTGAGGATGCTATCAATGCTCCAGTTGATCTACCGAGTGCCATCAAACGCTACCAAGACGTGTTGGAATACGCCCGGTCGAAAGTCGACTACGTGTTCGATGTGGGACTGTACATGGCTCCGAGTGATATGCAACTGAGAGTAAAAAAAGTGGTGGGCTACAACAACGAAATAGTCATAGCCACGGCGGGCCAAAAGTTGAGCGTCAACCCCGATGTTAACACCCCCAAAGTCCCGCCACCCACGACCAGTGAAACGGGTATATTGGCGCCACCCCCAGAGCCTAGGGTTCAACCCACGTCCCCACAGCCACAATCCAATCAGCATCACATCGATTGTAAAACAGCCCTGGTGGTTGGCGGGGTCGCGGCCGGTTTGGGACTCATTTGGCTAAAAATTCTACGTACACCAGACCCGCCACAGCGACGATGGCTGCCCACAGGTTTTGGCCGAGCCACGTGGCAGTTTTAGCCAGAGCGCTCAGCAGCCACGAGACAATGCTACCCAGGATGCCGGGTAGGGCTTCGGCGGCCTTACCAGCCAGTTTAGCCAGGGCCTCCCCGAGGGATTTCAGGTGTTTTTTTTATCCAGTCTTTGACGCCACCACTTGGGGGTGTGTGTATTGGTGTACCACTGCCGCTGGCAGGCATCAATGACACCACCAGGGTTGATATGATGAAGCCCAATGCAGTCAGAATGCTGGCGATGGTGATCCCTTGCTCCCAGAAGAGGATTCGGATCCTGTTGGCCAACGTGGTGTCCTCATTTAGGACTCGATCAATGGTTTCCCGGACACGACTGATCTGTGATCGGAGGGCTTCCCGGTTCGAGGAAGCAGATTCCAACCGACTCCGTCTCTCGTCTTCCAAGTTTTTTATTCTCTCCTCGATACGATGTTTCATATCACCATCCGATGCAGCGAGTTTTATTTTCTCGCGAGCGATGTGCTTGTCGACTTCGTTCAGTTTCCCCATGTTGTTCACGAGTTCTCCGCGTACATGTTTCAAGGCTTCGTCTAGGCCTCGCAGTTCCCTCAGGGTAAATTCGAGGCCCGGCAAGGGGTTGGCATGGTACGTGCCCAATATTTTTTCGAGACTGTCTGATGTTTCTTTAGCACATTGGGGTATGTCCCCGGTATTACTGAGTTCGGGCCTGGCTGCTTGCAGATCTTGGACGACCTTCCGGGGAAGCTTAGGCCGTGCGCCACCGTAATCTATGAAGCCTAGTTCATCACGGAGCATTTGACTCCCACCAGGGCGACTGGTGAGTGTTGACAAAGCATATGGGCCTTTCCCGTCTTTTTTCATGATATCGACCCCCGGGTGAGCCTTCAATCGCAGCGTGCCCTTCTTATCGATGGTAAACTTGGCATAGTTTCGTACCAACGGCTTGATGTTGTCTCTCTTTTCAACTGCGGCATAATAATGGTCGACGGCCGGCTGTACAAGTTCAGCACTTAAGGGGTTGTTCGTGAATGTGGCGTCATCCTCCCCGAACGCCTGGGTACTATCATCCCACATATCATCCATAGGGATGTACTCATGACCGCCTTCAGCCATTATTGAATATTAAACTTTTATATCTTATCTTTATAACAATGTATGGCAGGAAACTAGATCCTTTCTGAAGATCAAGAGAGCCTCTAGGCGTCAGAGCCGTGCGCCAGTCGGTGACCATCACCAACAATCCCAGCAAGATAGACCAGAACCAAACGCTGCTGGTTAGATTCCCAAACCTGGGGGAGAATGACCTTATCGTGCCAGGCACGGTTCGACTGACGTTCAACCTCACGTTGACCTCCGACAACGACAAACGCGAGCTAGTGCGGAATGTAGGCCGAGCCATCATCAAGAAAACCACCATCAAGATCAGCGGTAAAGAGGTGCTGAGCATCGACGACAGCGACGTGTTTAACTGCTACGGGGACCTCTGGAAAAGCAAGGGAGAACGCGTCAATGACGTGTACCAGGTCATCAGCAAATCGACCCGGTTGCGCATGGGATACGGCTTCACGCAAGACCAGTTAAACAAGATCACCGACGGTGAAAAGGCCATCGCCCAAGCGTACGGGAACAGGTTCTGCATGCCGCTCGACTTTGAGTTGCTCACAGAACACGCGCCGTTTTACCAGGGCGCGCTGGGCGATAGGCTTGAATACGAGCTCACGTTTAACGACTACAGCAAAGTCGTGCGTACGCCGAACGGTGATGAGGCCAGTTACACCATCGACAACATCTCTCTGGAGTTCGACATGGTCACTAGCCAGGAGCTGGCCAGGGCAGGTTCGAAAACAGTATTCGGGGAAGGTGACCATCCTGTATGATAGGGTCCTGTGGCATAGATCGGTCGTGCGGGATAAGAACGACACGTTGTGGAATATCAACCTAAACGTGCCGGCGCGATCGATGAAAGGTATCCTGATCGTCCCCGTGGAGGATTACGAGCCGTTCCGAAGGGACAGCAAGAAGTTTTTCAACCCCGAGATTGAAAAGATGGAAGTGACCATCGAGGGCATGCCCAACCAGCTGTTCAGCACTGGTATGAGGGCACACCAGCAGTGGGACGAGATAATGAAACTACTGACCCGGCACCAACACGTCATCAAGGACCTGGACCTATCCTCCGTGCAGATCGGTGAATACCTGACCACCAAGTACGTGCTATGGTTGGACATGCGATCCACGGATGACGATAAACTTCATGGTAGTGGGCGTCGCATCGACAATGGCAGCAAGGGGATAACCATCCAGATTACCAAGAAGGCTCAACCCGCGGGCAAGTTGAAATTATATCTGTACGTTATTATGGACGCGCAACTTAATATAGAGAATGGGAGATTCGTGCAAGCCATCTATTGATTTGCCCCGGGACCCACACTGCGCCATAGTGTGCGGGCAGACGGGCTGTGGGAAGACCGTTTTCATGCTGGATATGTTGGAGGGGTACTACCGGGATGTGTTCGACAATATCGTTATCATGTGCCCTACCCTGCACATGAATAGAACGTACACAGAAAGACCTTGGGTGATGACGGACCCAGACGTACACAAAGTCGACCCGGGAACACATTTGCAGGACTGGTTGAAAGCTTACCACAACAAATTTAAAGGGGAGTCGACGCTGTTCATACTGGACGACTGCAGCGTTAATCGCGAGATAACAAAAAAGAGAGACATGCTATCGTACCTGGCCTTCTCCGTCCGGCACGCAAAGCACATCGTCTGGGTACTAACGCAGAAGTTCAACTCGGTGTTGAAAGACCTCAGGGAGCAGACGCGATGGGTGGCCTTATTTCACTGCAAGGACAGGGATTCGTTCGAGGAGTGTTTGAGAGAGAACGATGAGATGAGCAAACATGATAGGGAACGTGTGAAGAAACAGCTTGCTGAAACTAAACATGCTAAGCTCGTGCTCAAGACCGACCAACCCGTGGCCTATAGGGTGTTTTAGCTTAGCAAATGCTTAGCAAAGCTTAGCAAATGCTTAGCAAAGCTTAGCAATGCTTAGCAATGCTTAGCGCTTAGCAATTAATTGTTACAGTTCTATACGATGGTTGTTTTTGAAGTTCTCGTCATGTGCAACTTAACCTTCATTTCGCTGTGTTTCACCTGCATCGGGTATTATATTATTAAAACTAAAGCTTGCTTATTACATTATAAGATGGAGTGTGATGAATTGCTAGAACAACTGTTTGTGCCACAGCCGCCACAGGTGAGTGACGACAAGCGAGAGAGACTGGTGGCGTTGGCTGTTGGCAGCAAAGCCAAACATTACTTTGGGGAATACACTCCCGATAAAATTCACAAAATGTCAACCGAAGAAATCGATAAGCTGTACGCTAGATACGAGGCTAGACTCGGGGCCGAGATGACAAGGACTATAGGATCGGCTATGACCCAGATATACACTGGTATTGCGTCGTACTTCCTCCCCATTCCCCAGGAACGCCGACTTTACCTGTGGGAGGACCTTGAGAAAGACCCTTTTTATTGAACACGCCTTGAGCTCTATCAGCTGCGTGCTGTACCACAAATACGGTATGTTTTTAGCCCCGGTGACGGCGGCGATTATCACAGCAAAGCATTGCCAATTTAAGGAGGGGAGAAAAATAATGATACAGTGGAAACCGCCTAAGTAAAGACCGCTTAACTAAACATACCTGATAGTAAACACTTTTCTTTGGTCCCGGCAAATTTCTTCATTAATTATCACTATTAGAGTCTGGTTAACTAAACTCGGATAAGTAAACAATACCGCTTAACTAAACGTCTTCACACGGTCCCTGGAAGTAAATTACTTAACAAAAGAGACTGGATAACTAAATTAGCGATCACCACATAATCCGACATGAGGGGCAGTCGTGTCAGTCTCTAGTCAAACAAACATCCTACTTACAGCTCGCTGGCGTCATGCAGTTGACAATACACTGACAACTGGAGGCCAGCCCTGATAAGTTGATCATTGTTACATATGCATACATATACATGCATATGGTTGTCATTTGCAAGTTTTTATAAGTTTGGATAAAGTAAAATACCTGATAAGTAAACAATTTTGGCGAGTCCCTTGAAATTTTACTTATCAGGTTTCCACTGTAATAGTATACAAGATGGATGCTGCCCAAGAAATGACACAGGAGGTGACACCTCCGGAGGAGACCCCCACGTTGGGGGAACCCCAAACCCCCACGTCCCAACCCCCTACAGTCACCAGGCAGAAGAACCCTAAGAGAGTAGCTGCCGGTTAAAAAAGGTGGTCTAACCAACATAAAAGTAACACGTGGAGCTGGGCTCCACTCCTGTTGATTGCAGGCACAACTGCTGTCGTGGCTATCTCATGATTATATAATAAACAACCACCCAGGGAGCCACGGGAGGAACCCCCCACAATTAGAGGTCAACCCACTTATCATGTTATAAATTATTATTTTTTTATATAATATACATAATGTCTGAGGGGAAAACGTTTGTCAACGACGCATACCACGCCACCGTGGTCGCCAGTCTAGCTGTAGGGTATGCTAGGTTGACCAAAATGGTGCTTAAACAACCGACTATCAAGCTAGATTTCAACCTGCAGGATATGGGCATGCTCATAATGAACCTGGGTATGGCGATGGCCACCAAGGACCATCTAGTAAAACAAGGGATCCTACCGGAAAATAATTTGAAGTAAATGTAACTATATATAGGATGGCTACGATCGCCATGATGGTTGGTGGGGCCTTAGTAAACGCCCTGGCATTTTCCGGGAGTAATTTCCTCTTCTCGAAACTACGGGAGTCACACACGGCTGAGATACAGGCTGAACGGAAACGGCACGACATAGCCGTGGAACGATTACAAGCAGCGCAATCTGAGTACGCGAAGAAACGTGTACAGAGGATCGATTACATTAACGAACAACTCAGGCGTGAGAACCATGCCGTTAAAACATTCCAAGATGTCGACGACGCAGCGAGAGAATACTACCTACTAACAGGTAAACAGTTAGAACCACTCCATAAGCCCACACTCGCTCAGTACTACACACCATCCCCGGGGCAAATGGACCGGGAATTGATTTTTATCGCACTGGGTCTAGCAGCGACTGCGTTGTTTGCAAAACAATTATACTAAGTACTCATATGGGTATACCAAAGATGAGACCTGCTCCGTACCGATGCCAATATATACTTATGGGGAAGACAGAGGCCTGCGGTAGGAGATGCAGGACTGAGGGGACTACAGGGAAAGTTCAGGGAGTCGCTCATTAGTGTTGCCAAGGAAGAGGTAAGCGACGTTATTCAAGAGATTGTGACACCACTGAAAAACGAGATCAGTGAGTTGAAGAATCGGCTGGAACTCAAGACTGATGAACTGGAACAGTATAGCCGTCGAACACTAAAAACTTTTCTATTTAAACAAGCTTTCTGTGCCTGAACACTGAACTGTGTGACATCCACACTTTGTATTTAGTTTTATTCCTGTGAGCTTAGAGCATGCTGATGCATGGAATACAGCATTACATAAATACACTATATTATGTTTTACAGATTAAAGATGAAAGTGCTTAGAAGTTGAGAAGATTTACAAATACACGTCTTTGAACATTGAGGTTGAGACTTGCAGCCACATTTGATAAATTTTCAACAACTTTGTGAAGCTTCTGGCAGTGTCATCCACACCGGTAGCCATGCGGTGTTGTCCCTTGTCCAACCAAACAAATCTGGCTCTGGTGCTTTCTGTTTGGGAAGTAAACAAGTAAGCCATATGCTGACCTGGTACAAGCTTCTGTTTGTGTGCTGTAGCAGAGCATCCTGAGTGGGAGGAAGGTTCAGCATCAACTTGATCTTGTGGCCTTGGCAGAACATCTCTTGTCGCAGTTCGTTGACTGTGTTCACTGATGTAGTCAGACATGATGCATGTGAATCGCTCAACTTTATGAAATTAATTCTGAGTCTTTGTCCACAGGTTGGAATGGATGCTGTGCAGGAAAAGGAATTCTCTCAGTCACATCCTCATAAGATATCCAAGTCTTCAAAGCAGTTGCCTTCTTGCCTTTTCCACTGACATGTGATGTTGTGTCAGAACCAGTGAATGTGTGGAAAAAGTGAAGCACCACTCATCTTCGACAGCCATCCTTTGAATGGATTCTCTTCTGTCAACAGGAAAGGCTTTCATATCTCTGATGTGAACTGACAGTCTGCGTGCATAGTTGGTGTGATCAAGAGAAAAGAACCAAGGGACAAGTTGTCCCATTACCTGAATGTACAGAGACATGTTTCTTTCGCGATGGGACCTCACACCTCCACCCAGAATCTTCCAACAAGTCTCCAACCATTTTCCATAAGGCTATTTCAGTGTGAAGACCTCCAAGCATGATAGTGTACACGTCTTGACCAAACACGTTAGGCCATTTCCATTGAACATATTTTGCTGGTGCAAAACGTGGTTGGTCTACAGCCATGACTGGGAGTTGTCCTGGATTGCAATGTTATGTGACTGTCTTGATGATAGACTTGCAGCTTTGTCCTTAACGAAGAGGAAGGAGAGAACTTATTCCTGCTGCAACCTGTTCCTGGGATTGACGAGAAGCATGAAATGCACCAGGCAACTCATCCTTTTCCAAAAGTTCTTCAGCAAGAAGGCCAATGCAGTGCTTGATCCAAGATTCTTCTTTAGCTTTGGTGATCTTGTCCTCGACTTGATGATCAGAAATATACAGTAACTGCCTGGAAGTGTAGGTTTGGAAGAGCTTGTAATAGTGTCTATTGAAATAGGTTTCCCGCTGGTACCATTATTAACAACATTTTTAAATGTGGCTGCAAGTCTCAACCTCTATGCTCAAAGAAGTGTATTTGTAAATCTTCTCAGCTTCTATGCACATCGCTCTGTAACTTCAATTGAAACTGTTAAAGGAGACTTCAGAATCACAGAGATCGATGTTTGACAAAATAATGTCACGTGACTGATCAAAACAGTAACCTATTCATTAATTGGATAATGAATTATATCTTTTGCTACTACTCTTTGATTTTTGGCGTCCTTCTTGGATTTTGGGAAAATAGGCCCAAACATTCGGGCTCACCCCAAAAATATGCTGTATCATGATGTTCCCTAGCACTGTGCAAAGTTTTCTGCTTTAATTCAGCGGGGAAAAGTCACATTAGTGTTAGAATTGGAAATCCTTGATTTCTGTTGGCCATCTTGGACGCCTGGATTTTTCAGAAAATGGGCCAATAAAACCGGGCACAACCAAAACATATGTTTTATCATGATGTTCCCAAGCATTGTGCAAGGTTTTCTGCTATAATCCAGCGAGGGAAAGTCACAATAGTGTTAGAATTGGAAATCCTAAGTATCTATACTGAAAGCCATTAAAAATGCAATTTGACATTCATACTTTCTTTACTCACACTAATTTCAACATATATAAACCTAACTGGCAGATATGTTTTAAGTGAACATCTGTGAATAATTTCATTTGAAAATGGCCAGTCAACAACAACATCAATGACGCAACAACGACATCACACAAAGGAGGGGTCACTTGCAGTCAATATCGTGTGTGTCCAGCATGTGCTGCAAGACATGCTCGCAGTCTTTGGGGCATTGAAAGACACACATTTCTCAGGAACAGCTGTTGGATGGTTTGCAGCCTCTGATGGTCTGTGGTCTGATCATGACACCACCCCCTCCAAAACGATCATGTTCAAGGACACAGTTTGGCGCAAGTCTTTCTCCTTTACGTCGATAAATCTGTTGACGTCCATTTGCAAAGGATAAGTTAAACCTGGATTCATCTGAAAAAATGACATCTGGCCATGTCCTGTTGCAACGATTGACCCCATTTGCTGCCCATTGCTGTCTGGCAAGTCTGTGGCGATGCAATAAGGTTGGACCACGGTACGGGTGACGACACCGGATGTTGAAGGCAGCAAGGCGTCCTTGCACCTTTTGGGCGCTGAAATGACGTTGACTTGTCCCAATTGTCCTCCTTGCCTAATCATCAGCTGTTTGGAACCGATTTCGCAAGTGTGCAACTCGGATATTGCGGTTTTGTCGAGCTGTTATCACAGGTGGTGCACCAGGTCGCAGACGATCAGCAACACTTCAGGTAGCCCGAAAACGTTGTCTGAGTCGACTTACAGTGGATGGATGCACATTAAAGTGCCTGGCAATCATCACATCTGAAGCACCTTGGCTGACCATACCGGTAACCTGATTCCTTTCGTCTTGTGTCAAGTGTGGCATTTTCTCAAAGTGATTGAGTTCCACAATTCCTTGTGCTTTTACAGGGCCTGGGTGCAGGTAATGCATGTGCACAACGTGTTTCATGAATGTGGTTGTGTTTACGAGAAATGTCAAAGGTTCAGTTTTAAGTATCAAAGTTCATGTGAGAGGAATGCTCGAAATGGGCCAGAATAACAATCTTTTATCCACACATCCTCTGTATCACAGGAAAAAATCTTCAATAGAACTTTTGTAAGTTTCAGGACAACAAATACCAATTGCGTTTTTAATGGCTTTCAGTATATTTTCACCCTAAGCCACTACACTAGAAGGACTAAAGGAGTCGCCCTGGAAAATTCCCCTTCTGATTGGAATAGATTCCGAAGTCTGCACATGCCCTTGCGAGTACATCTCAAGTTGAGTCGACCAGTAACTCATTAAAGACTTGGATAAATCAAGTAGTTGCTCCGGGAGGTCAATACAATGAAGAGACTTCAGAATACATTCATGAGGGACAGAGTCCTATGCTTCTTTGTAGTCAATCCAGCACATGGAGTGGTTTCAGTGTGTCATGTGCTTGTCCGCCTTTGAATGAAAACACGAAATTGTAAACAAAATAAATACAGTTTATTATGAACAAAACCACTTAATGTATTCGATCTCAAATGCTCCAAACAACCACTCACTAACCTAAATGCATGTGCAAGCAATCCACACGTGCAAACACTATTCACTTAAGCATTCACATTTACCAAACATACAATAAATACATCAAATCGATGTTTTTAAACAGATGTACTAGTACAAGTCAAACACTTGAAAGAAGTTCACCTTCAGTTATAGCACTACTGCCTCACCATAACGCAGACTTGTATTGTTACATGGTATGATGAGACATTCATATCCAAGTCATACACTTGTTAGTGTGCGTCCATAGCACTAATGCACCACCATAATGTGTGCTTGAGTATCCACCATAACGTGGGCTTGAGTATCCACCATAACGTGGGCTTGAGTATCCACCATAACGTGGGCTTGAGTATCCACCATAACGTGGGCTTGAGTATCCACCATAACGTGGGCTTGAGTATCCACCATAACGTGGGCTTAAGTATCCACCATAACGTGGGATGAAGAATAGCCTACCCAAGACTATCAGTTACTTCACGCAGTCAATGTAACAATTTTACCAAAGTCTTTTGGTTACCCTGCCGACCCAGTGACATCACAATGACATCACAGCTGACGACATTCCACAAAGCTGACGACATTCAACACAGCTGACGATGTTTCACACAGCTGACAACGTTCCACACAGCTGACGACGTCTCACTTCTGACATGACAATGACGTCACACACGAACATACATGTAGGCGTAGCTCGGACAAGACAAATACTTGACTTGCATCATTTTCCAACAACTACCATGCTCATGATGTTCAACATCAACACTGGAATAAATAGATACTGGGTAAAGCATCTCTTAATATGAAATATGACTTCTATGAAAAATTGCAAATTGTGAATGTACACTGAGAGGCAATAAAAACGCATATGAGAAAGAAATGTCAGATATATTTATCATATGTCCAAAAATTACATATGGCGGTACAGGCATTGTGATGACTTGTAAACAATACTGCAGTGTTTACAGAGGATTACGGATGCAACAATGTCTTTGCGAGCATCTCCAAAACAAATGGTATGAGAACACACAACTGTCAGATGACACATTTCAATACCGTGTGTGTCTTCCTTGGGCAGCCATGCAAGCCAGGAGTCTGCCAGGCATTGACAAGCACAATCTCCGAATCAAAGCTTGTGGAACGGCTCTCCAGTGAAACTGCAAAGCTTGTGTCAACTCAGCTACAGTTTGGGGAGGATTCAACTGACGTGTCACACGGCCCCCAAGTTCACCCCACAAATGTGCCCCCAATACCATAACTCCACCACCACCAAAGCGATCACGCTCAATGACACCAGTCTGCGCAAAACATTCATGATTACGGCGATGCACACGTAGCCGACCATCAGGGAAACTGACGTTGAAAAGTGATTCATCTGCGAAGATGACATCTCGCCAATGTCTAGCACCAGGATAGCCTCCAGCAGCTGCCCAACGTTGACGATTTAGGCGATGTGCGTGGGTGAGGATCTGTCCATGATAGGGTCGACGACATCAGATGTGACGTGCAGCTAGCCGACGGCGTACTGTCCGGTCACTGACGGAACGTCCTCTCGTTCCTATCGTGGCATTTGCAGTCTCTCATGCAGACCTGAAGCGATTCCGAAGATGACTAACGAAAATGTACCGATCTTGCCTTTGTGACGTCACACGAGGCGCTTTCGGACGTGGATGGTCTTGGACACTTCCTGTTGCCCTATAACGTTGCTGTAGCTTCGAAATGGTCGTCTGGTGGACGTGGAAGTGATTAGCAACATCTCTCTGTTTGGCCAGCATGCAGCATTCCAATTGCTTGGTTCCTTTGGGCGTCAACCGTGGCATCGTGAATGTGAATGAAAGCCATTTCTCAACCTGTGCTTTTATGGGAGCTGAGTGTGCACATTGCACGTGCACCATGGTTTTCTGTTCATCAAACTGCATTGTCATCGCACATGCTCTTGGGTGCGTTTGAGATGTCACGTCCCTGTGATTTGAAAACGTGGGATTCAAACCTAAACATCAGAGCTGTGTATTTCTTAACCATATGTTTTCACCATATTGTAGTTTTGGAAACAGCAACATCTCTAAAACCGACTTAGAGTAGAAAGTCCAATATGCGTTTTTAACGCCTCTCAGTATATATAGCTACAATATCACTATCAGCAGCGTAATTACATTACAAACTTAAATCACTTGCATATTTTGTTAATTCAACATAAAAAACTTCTCTTGTCACATGTAAAATAGATACCACACAAAGTGAAAATTACAGTCAAAACACAAATGTTCAATAAATACAAAAAACATAATTTTGGCTCATAATAGCCCATGCATCCACTTGAAGCAAATATATCATCTGTTTAACACTCCTCTCCAATCACTCTCTTAAATACACAACAACACATGTTTCCCCCATGCACCACATGTATCAACCATCAGATGGTGTGTTTGGGCGAACCACTCTTGGGGTGTGTTTGGGCGAACCACTCTTGGTGATTGTGGCTATTCCCATAATAGAGCTATTTTTGTGACATTTATCCCCTGCTTGAGAATTTTGCTTACCAGCACAATCAACAAACACAAGAATAGCTCATACATACACACACACAATTACCTTCACGTTCATTCACCCGATTCTATTGGTATCTCATTCCAATAACCTGCTATCTCCACATCTGCTTAACAGATCAACACCAACATTATGCTTACCCATAATGCTGTGTAATATGGACTTAAACGGCTGTAACATCAGGGCCCATCTCATAATTCTGCTGTTTGTCATCTTTGCCGTGTTGAGCCAGGTAAGGGACTGGTGATCTGTCACAAGTACAAATTGTCTACCATGCAGATACTGTTTCATCTTACCAACTGCCCAAACGATTGCCAGACACTCTTTTTCCACTGTGGCATAGTTCGTTTCACGGAGTAATAACTTCCTGCTCAGGTACATAACAGGAAACTTGACGTCATCAACCTCTTGTAGTAGCACAGCGCCTATTCCGGTCCCAGACGCATCCGTCCTCAAGATGAATGGCTGTTCCCAGTCTGGAAGTTTTAATATCGGTGCTTGCGACATCATACTCTTCAAGGTTTCAAATGCATTCTCAGAAATTCTTGTCCATTCCAAAAGGTTTGGTGTTCCTTTTCTCGTCATATCTGTGAGAGATGCAGCCACTGTAGAGAAATTAGGGATACATTTTCTATAATACCCCACGTGTCCAAGGAATGACCTCAACTTTTTCTTGTTGCTAGGACGTGTCATTGCAAGAATCTTTGAATTTTGGTCGCTTCTGGTCTCAGCTCACCATTCCCAACAATGTGGCCAAGAAATTTAAACTATTGAAGCGAAACAAACACTTGCTTGGGCATGCTGTCAGATTCGCTCTCCTCAAGTGGTCGAAAAAACTTTCCGGAAAGCTTCCAAGTGCTCCTCCCACGTTTCTGTGAAAATCAAGATATCGTCAATATAGTTCATGACATGATCCAAGTTCTTCCAACAGTTTCCACATCATACTTGTGATTACGGCAGGAGCATTAACCATTCCAAAGGGAATCACTCTCAATTAGAATAACCCGTGTGGCGTAACAAATGCTGTCCTCTCCTTGCTGTCATTATCTACTGAAATTTGCCAATATTCTTTTGAGAGGTCAATTTTGCTTTGTATAATCTTGAATAAAGCTCCTCAGTATTTGGGATAGGTTCTGCATCAAATACTATGATACTGTTCAATCTGCGGTAATCTGTACAAAAACGGTAACTACCATCTTTCTTGTGAACCAATACAATTGGGCTGGCATATGGCTACTTTGAAGGCTCGATAGCACCCATAGCACCCGATAGCAGGTTCATCCGACGTTAGTCTCACTTCAAATTTCGTCATCGTCATAACACATTTGTAATGCGCTGGTATCCATGCAGTCCATGCTCAAAGCGCATATAGAATGTAACAAATTACACAGTTATAGTTCACAAGGCTGTCCTAAACAAATGTGTTTTTAACTGGGATTTGAAAGTGACAAAGGCAGTACAGTCCCTGAGATTCTGTGGAAGTTTGTTCCAGGCAACTGGTGCTGCATAGGCAAAGGATCTGTTTCCATACTGCACTGTTCTAGTTTTAGGGACAAGAAGAAGACTATTATCTTGTGAACGGAACGAACGAGAAGGCTTGTACAGAGAAAGAAGACTGGATAAATATGTAGGGGCAGTTCCAGACAGACAGCGGAAGACAAGGCAGAGAAGTTTAAACTCAATTCTGAAATCCACGGGCAGCCAGTGTAGAGTGATATGATCATTCTTCCTGGATCTTGTCACAATGCGCGCTGCTACAGTCTGGACTCTTTGCAGCTTTCGTATCTGAGACTTGGTTGCACCGGGCAACAGACAGTTGCAATAGTCAAGTCTGCTCATGACAAAGGATAGAACATGAGTTGTTGCTTGTCAGGTATTGACGGATATTGCCAATGTTCCGGAGTGAGATGAAGCAGGTCTTAACTAGATTAAAGACATGATTGTCAAGTGACAAATTTGAGTCTAGAATTACACCAAGATCTCTGACTTGATCTGCGAAAGGAATATGTGAGTTGTCGAACTCGAAGGAATCAATTGCACATAGATCCCTCCGTTTCACTGGACCCAGGAGAATAGATTCGGTCTTGCTGCTATTCAATTTTAGTTTATTTACTAGCATCCAGGATTTGATACTGACACAGCATTGGGACATGTCTCCCGAGGCAATATCTGTTTGGTCCTTGTTCGGAGTGAAGCATCTGTAAACCTTTGCATCATCTGCATAGTGATGACGATTCATACGGTGCTCATCAATTACGCTTCCGAGCTCTGTTATGTACAATGTGAACAGGACTGGTCCTAGGTCCGACCCCTTTGGAACACCATACTTGATGCTGGCCGAGTCAGAGTAATGACCAACCATGATGATGGTCTGAACACGACCCGACAGATACGACTGCAACCAAGTAAGAGCCGTTCGGTCAATGGAGAAATCACCCCTGAGACGATGGATGAGTTTGTCATGGTCGATGGTATCAAAGACACTGCTTAAATCGAGAAGGGTTAATATACCAACTTTGTGTTCATCAACACCACACCTCAGATAATGGAGGACCTTGACTAGTGCCGTCTCAGTGCTGTGATGACCACGATATGCAGACTGGAGATTGTCATACAAATCGTGTTGTTGGAGATGTTCTGACAGTCTAACACACACTGCACGTTCTATGAGCTTGGAGACATAGGTGAGGTTAGCAACCGGTCTATAATTGCTAAATTAATCACAATCCAGGTTTGGCTTTTTCAGCAATGGTTTTACAAGTGCTGATTTGAACACATGAGGCATTTCACCAGATTCAAGGCTCGTGTTGATGATAACCATCAAGACTGGGAGAAGGACGTCAAGGTTGTTTAACAGCACGGACGTTGGTAAAGGGTCGAGAGCACATGATGTGGGTTTACAACTCTTGATCAGCTTCAGTACTTCCTCATCACTGAAAGATCTG